CCCTTCTCTGGGCCTGGTGAAGTTCAAGCCTAACTGAGGACAAACACAGAGGCCATGAAGTGCTGAATCAAATCTCCTCCTTATGGCTTCCTGGCCAGCACAGCTTGGCACAGGAGGGACCAGGCCTGGGCACTGTGCAGGAGGACCCCAACTGCCTCTTGAAACAAGAGCAGCAACAGGGGCTAATCTCCAGCTCCCTTCCTCTCTGATGGGATTAGGTTTCTACTATCTGCATTTTTGCTGATGTCTGTGCTGCAGCTAATAGCCAGCTCTGAATCCATTAAGTTCACTGTGTCCTGGTCTCCGGATATGCTACGGGCATCAATACCTGTTCACCCTGCCATTTCCTGACATTTTCACTGCTGTGGGCTTCAACAGTTCCTGGGGTCAGAGCTGAGCAGGGTCAGCAGCCAGGAACTCCAGCTTTTCTCCAAGTCAGCCTGCAGCAAGCCCTCCACCAGTTCCAGCTCTGCCATCAGCACAGCTGGAACACCCAGAGACATCCTGCTGATAAAGCAAGGGGTGGAAGTTTCATCCTGTGTGGTACTGATACCCCAAGTTTCCAGCTAGCAGTGCCCATGGCTAGGGACTAACCCCACATCCCCCTGCTCCCTTGAACTGCTCTGGAACATCCTGCACCAGGTGATGCTCCCTGGTGGGACAAGGGAGACCATATCCCAGCACAACAGGCCAGACTTAGCCCCTACACATGCTAGTCGAGTCTGCACCACCTCAGGCAAAATTAATTAGGTTAATTACAGCAAAAAAGGAGACAAAGGGACTCCAACAACCCCATATTGGCACTCTACCTGGAAAAGCTCACAAGAGGTACGACACCATCCACCTCTGGGAAGGTGCCGGGGCATGGCTGTGAGCCAGGTTGTCAGGTGCCTGCTGTGCATTGTTACCAGCAGAACTGGGTAAGTGTTTTTGGCTGAATAGTTATTGATTGAAAACTGCAGTTTCCAGACAGCTCAGAGCTATTTGCTCCTTCATCACAAGTTTTGGACAAGAACAAAATGCTTTGTTTTCCAAGCAAATAAGTCTCATTTTGCATTGTTTTGTTTGTAATTGAGCGGCATTGCATTTAAAATAAAAGATAAAGGGTCTCTCAAATTTGTCTGTGTTGATTTTTTTTCCCCTCCAGCTTTTCATTTTGGGCACTAAATCAAGCAATTAATTATTTGTCTAGCTCTGGTCTCCAGACAAGCTGAGAGCATCATGAGCCAAAAGGCCCAAGCAGCAGTGCTGAGGAGGGTGTTGATTTTTTTTTGTGCTGCAGGCTCCTTTCAGGCCTTAGCTTGAGTTTCCTCGGGGTTAGCAAACATTCCCTGGGGAGAGAAGAGCAGGGCCCTGTGCAAGGAATGGCAGGTACCCCACCACAAGGGATCCACCCACCCAGTGGGCAGCAGCTGGGGACACACAAGGTCACTACCAGTGCTTGGAGGACATGCTGGGAGCAGGGCTTCCCATGCCAACTGCCCTCACAGAATCACAGGATATCTGGGGTTGGAAGGGACCCACAAGGATCATCAAGTCCAACTCCCAGCTCAGCACAGGACAACCTCAGAAATCACACCATGTGCCTGAGAGCATTGTCCAGAAGCTTCCTGAACTCTGTCAGGCTGGTGCTGTGACCACTTCCCTGGGGAGCCTGTTCCAGTGCCCAGCCACCCTCTGGGTTTTTCCCAGTTTTTTCCCAATAACCTGCCTAATCCTCTGCTGATACAGCTTCACGCCATTGGCTCATGACCATGGTCCCTCACTAGTCCTGCTAGTATCGGTCACTGGAGCAACTCTTCCAAATTCCATCTCTCACAATGCCAAACTCTAGTCCAGCAGCCAAGCACACACAAGGCACTGACTGACAAGGAAAGGCAATCCCTCTCCTCTGCATGAAAAGCAGCTGAGCTCATGGATGCAGCCTGGTACCTCTTCCACAAGGGACTAGCTCAAACTGGGAGCTGTGCTCAAGCAGCCACTCCTATATCTTCCCTGTCCAGAGCTATTCCTGGCACCAATGCCCTCAGTGCCTAAGTGAGGCTGAAAGCAGAGCTCATCCACACAGCAATGGAACAGCTGCACTATAAATAGCAAACCAGAATGGCTCAGGCAGTCTCTAAAAAACCCAAGCAGCAATAGTGCCATCCACTCAGGGTGCCCTGGGCATTTTGTACGACCAGAAGTGATTCTGAGCTGCAGAGAAGCTTGCACATTGCCAAGAGGCTCTGACAACACTGGAGAAAAAACTGTTGTCCAGGCTAAGACACAAAACTTACTTGCAAAAAAACGGCATAGGACATCTTGCAAACTGGAAATGAGGTAGTGACTGATAGGGACAAAAAATGAGGGGAAGTGGATCCCAGAGGGGAGGCAGTTCCCAAAGGCAGGCAGTGGAAAGGAGAATACTCCCAACATCCAAACCCATTACTAGCCCTCCTCCCTTCCTGCTGCTCCTTGTGTTCCTGTCCCTGGAGCTTCTCACACTGCTGAGCTAAACCATGAACTTGCGCACCAAAGGACAAAGGCAGGGAAGAAACAGCATAGCTCAACTCAACCAAGCAGCAGATGAGTGGCTGAGGACAAAGCTCCTGTCTTCTGCAATCCACAGCAACCTCTGTGCAGTGCCCAGCTTGCACCAGGAGAGGCATAACATCTCAGACCATCCTGTGATCAGGTCTTCCAGGATGCTTCTAGGAAGAGTCATACCCTTCCCACCACACTCATCCTCACTACTCCCTCTTCGCTCCTAGTGCCTCCATCTGGATCCACAAATACTCCACCTTCTCCTTCTCACTGACACTGTATGTCCTATTAAGGGATCTCAGCCTCCCCAGATGAGGATATGACTGGCCTCAAGCAGCACTGCCAGGCACCAGCCTCCCACTCCTGAGAGGGAGCCCTGCTCTTTCAGCAGTGCTGCAGCACTTGGGCATACACTGGGAATAAGAGCACAGAAGAAACTGTTGGGAAATCAAGAGAGGGGTGTATGCACAGAGAAGGCACACACCTGAACCAAATCACCCAGCAAATAAACACACAAGCACACACAAAGGGAAGCAGTTGCTTCCTCTGTAAGAAAGCTTATTTTGTCCGAATAGGAAGACAGCACTCAAAAAAAAACCCAGAGGAAAACCACCAAACTCCTGCTTTATTGCTCCTGGAGCACCAAAACGAGACAGGACACAAAAAGCAAAGATAGCAAGTGGTCATTACAAACCCACCTTGAGAATTCTGTAAGCCCACAACTCTCTTTGCTTCTCCCCCGTGGCTCTCCTGTCACTCCTCACCCTTCCTCCTCAGTGCAGCAAGCAGGAAGAGAGGTAGAGGTCTCAAGTTTGGCCAAGTTTCCACTCAGGGAACAGAAGCTTGATAACAGGCTGGACAGGATGTGAGGACCCATTGAGGAAGAGGATTAGTAACCCCTTAATCTGCACATTTTGGAGTCTAAGCACTTTGCTCTGCTCTTTAATTAAACCATGGAGTGCAAAGATTGCCAGAAGGTAGAGAACAAGGAGGAAGAAGGAAAGGAAGGAAGAGGCTGTAGTTTAAAGGCTGTTCCTTGCGGCTTAAACGCAAGGGGAGGGTGTTACTAGCAGGGATGTATTTCACCTCAAGGGCTTTATACTGGGGCTGTTGAGCATCCTATTGCCTTCCCTGATCCAATCTATGGGAGGGTCAGGGGCAGGATGAAGGGCAAACTGCATGACGGCCTGGGAATGACAAAGGAGGGAGCAAAGAGATCTACCAGACTGGACAAAGTTTTATCTGTGGCAGCTTTGGCTGGCCTTGACTCCCCTCCCAAGTCTCCTGCCTCCTGGGAAACAATATGAGTGCCAGAGCACGTTTGTCTCCACTTCACACACCTGTCTGCACAAAAGGGCCTTGTTCCAGCACTTATCTGGCTCCAAGATGGGGAGGGGCCAGTGCCTCACTGCCCTGGCACCCAGGCAGGACCTTCAGCTCCATGTCAGGCTTCTCTGGATCTGCCTGGCAGAGGAAAATTTCCTGACACAGGTAAAGAGGGAAACCTTTTACTACAGCCCAAGACAAACAAAGCAGTTCAAATAATGCCCTACTTCCCTCAAGCTGTGCTCAAGCACATGTGCCCATGCAGAGCAGGCAGCAAGCCTGAGGCTCCGGAAGCTACCTGAGCAGTGAGGATAGGAGCCCCCAGCACAGCACGGGGAGACAGACAGCTGGTACCAGAGCTGGGAATAGAAATGCCAAGGAATGGCCTCACCTCCTGAAATGCTCTGCCACCAGCTCTGCCCCACCACACCAAGGCAGGGGGCTGCCTGTGTGCAGGGGCAGCCTGTCACTCCAGCGTTCCTCTCTTCCCTCACTCCTATTCTTTGGAATTCCTCTCCTCTGTTTGCTTTGTTTCAGACCTCAATGAACAGGAAGAAAAGGGAAGGAGCCTTGACAAATCCGATCAAGGCATAGACATTGCTGAGGCTCCCTCCTGCTGGCATGCCAAGCCCTACACTAATGAGGGGCAGGGAGAGAGAGGTGGCCCCAAAGAAACACTTGATGTAACAGACAGAGGGAAAAGAAGCTGCTGGGACAGAACAATGTCAGCACAAGCTCCCAGCCTTCAGAAGGAGGTCTTCCCATTTTCCCTGGCCCAGAGAGCTTGTTCCAGCTCCTCAGTCCAGGTCCCAGTGACTTACTGCCCACTACACAAGAAATAAGCAATAAACCATAGTATTGTCTGGGAAGAAGGATCAGACATGCACACTCAGGTGAACAGCTGCAGAGATGGATCACACTTCATTCAAAGGATTGCTATGGAAAATCTGGTCCTTCCCTCCAGAGAACTGAGCTATGGGGGCCTGCAAGTGCCAGTGTTGTCTCCAGAGCCTCCCACAGGTCCCAAATACCCACAGAGCCAAGCCCTTCTGCTACATGATTATCCCCTGTATACCGACTTAGAAGCACTAAAACAGCAAGGGAGTAACCACATGTAAACCATCTACTTAGCATACATGGTAACTAACCTTTGAAGGCTGCCAATGTTGCAGGAGTGGCTAGGAGAAGTTCCAGTTGCAGGGACAGCTGGAGAAGTTGGCACGGCCTGGTGGTGCCTGTGAGGACCCCCCTCTAACCAAAGATTCTCAGCTTGAAGGGCAGATAAGACATCTCAGCTGTACTCAGAGTTTTGGAGCTTCCTGTCACCTGAAACCCAAAAGACAGTCACGTGAAGAGCTACTGCATAAGAGAGCTCTGAGGACAGGCCCCTGCACATCCGAGAGTCACAGATAAGAGCACCCAACACCTTGGTCCTGCCCCTATCCTCCAGCCTGCCACAAAGCACAGCTCGGTGTCACCCAAGGCTACCCAGACAGCCCAGGGGAGAATGACTACCTGCATGCTGCATATTGCCAGTCCCAGTTCACTGCACTGTCCTTTGCAAGTTCCCCGCTCATGCAAGGAGGACTGTACACATGTCCCCAGAATTGCTGGCAAAGCCACAGCCACCATATTCCATCGCAACACATGAGAGTCCTCACAGCAATCCTTCAGCAGCATCAGGAGCTGAGGGAGGGATGCAAGTTCTCTGGCCCCCTCCCAAACATAATAGCAGCAGCAAGTGTCTAACTTGTGAGGCAATAAAGGGATTCACTATCTTGTCCAGTAACCTGAGCGCCCGTGACATGCTTTGGGCAGCCCCATAATGGCAGTTAAGTGAGTCTATCCAAATAGGCACATACAGGGTGAGAGAAGGAGCAAAGGCAGAGGAGAGAGAAAGCAGGCAAAAAACATCACACATGCAGCTTGTGCTGAAGAGAGCACAGCAGTCTGCACATGTTACTCCTCCTCAGAGGAAATCCTTTTTCTCTGCTGGGATCTTTCCATTGCACCCCTTTCCTCCAACTCCCACAGAGTTGGGCACACACATTCCACAGCTGCAGGATGAAATGGATAAGCCCTTCTCCCAGGAGGCTAGAAGGATTCTTAGCTCCTTATCAGGAAGAAGCCCAAAACAGAAGCACACACATACTAATATGCGAGGGCAAAGGAATTGGAGAAGAACTGGGAATTCTGCCTCTATCCACACATCATTGCTTTAAGATGCAGCAGGAGCAGGACCTTAAAAGCAGGTAAAAACCTAGTAAAAGCATGGGTCTGATCTGTCCCACCTGTTTTAAAAGGCCAAACAGAGAAACAAATATGCAGTGTGCTGTGTTCCTGCACCCCTCTAGCCACAGCAAACCCCAGGCCAGCCTGGCACAGTACAATATGACAGAAGGGAGGTGACATCAATCCCAACAAGGGCTGGAAATAAAAAATAGTAACAACAGCTGCTACCTGAACAATGAAATCCAGCGATTCTAAGAGTGAAGTACAGCACTGCAGTGCTCAGCAAAACCCTTCTTCAGCAACAAGGCCCAACAAAACTTCTGCTTTTTGAGTCTCCCTCAGATTCTGGCTATAAGGTGGCAGCCAGTGAGAGAGGACATGTATGGACCCTACAGCACATGTCAGTAAACAGACATCTGTCTCCTCCATCATCCCTACTCCGCTTGTTCTGATCGGTCAGCTCCCACCTCAGACCAAAGGGGTCTAAGAGGAGAAACTCAGGAGAGGGATACTTCTGGAGCAGCAGGAACAGAACCAGAGTGCCAGACCCTTCTGGCATACACCCTGCAGCTCTCGCCCAAGTGCTACCAGAGCTTTATATTTCCAGGTCAGCAGGTAAGAGCCAAGTCCCTCCGACACTGAGTTCTTTCAACAGCAAAGAGCTTGAAAAGCAAAGGCCCCTTCAGCAGAGATAATACTGAGTGGGGAGACCCAGATGTGTGCCTGTGACACAGCAGCACTGTCCACCGAGATCCACCACAGCATCTCTGGGACAGCAGAGTTCCCATTTGCACATGGCAGGAGCCTCATCTCCAGGATGGAGCCCACATCATATGGCCGCAACCCAGCCACCAGCAGTTATTTACACAGCACCACGCACAGGAACTGCAAGAACTGCAGGGTGGTGGGACCGATCTCAAGGTCTGCTGCCTTCTCCAGGTGGGGTCAGGGGAGCTTAGGGTGATGCTGGGGGAAAGAAAGGTCAGAAACTACAAGCAGTTACCCGTCACACACCCAAAAGCAGTTGCAGTGCCCTCTTCCTCAGGGCCCAGCTGTATGTCTCCCTTGAACTGTTTCCATCAACTCAGGCCACCAGAGAACTACATGTCCAAAAGTTTTTTCCAACTGCATCACATGGTTATTAAAAGACATGGCCTCTCCCTTTCAGCCTTTGGCACGGGCAGATTTGAGTATTACAGGAGGAACTACACATTGCTAATGAATCAGGGAAGGGAGTTATCCAAGTAACAATCTGTGGCTCTAAATGGCTTTCTGGAAGAGGCATCTGGAGGCAGGAGGCAGTCAGTATCTCGCAGCAGGGCTCTGCACACATTGCCAGACATGTTGTTCCTCTTGGGAAGCCAAAAAGTCTTTCTCCAGAGATGCCAAGTCTGAGCTAAGCTGGGAAGGGCAGGGGCACCCTGACAGAGAGCAGCAACAAAATGCCTCCAAGTCAAAACACGTATTAAAAGGCCCCTTAAGCTTGTTTGACCTGCGTTTCCCTTCCCATCAGACTACTGTTACTTCAAGTAACAGACCTGTCAGCAACACTTCAGGAACTTAGGTGCTACACCACCAGCCTCCCCTGCCAGCTGTTGCCTTTCCAGACCCCAGGAGGACTTTTCAAGATCAGAAGTACAAGCTGCCACCACAAGCATTGCCTCGCTCAGAGCATGGTGTGCTTCATTGCCCTTGTCTCCTCATTTGGACAGATTTGGAGCTCTCCCGAAAGGTGTTGGCCTCCAGTGGGATATCATGAGTGAACAAGGCCTTCCATTCTAGGCAGGGTTCATGTAACAGGGACTAAAATACTCCCTGGACATGCCTCCATCTACAGGTTATTTGGAGCAAGTAATAATTTATCCCTAGCTATCCCAAAGTACTGGCTGAGCTCATCCAGAAGCAAAGAAAATACACAGCCAGACCACGGTGTGAGAGCTGAGGAGGGCAGGAAGGCATGCCCTAAAGAGGCAGGGCCAGAAAGGCCATCTCATTCTTCAGCACAACTGCTCGCTTTCAACCACAGCCAAAAAGATCCACATCCCCGACCTCACACTGCCAGGCCACTTCCCTTCCGGCAGGGGAAGGTCAGCAGCAAGATAAGGCTGGGAAGAATATCCACTTCCCACCCCGACTACCCATCTCCCAAGACACAGCCAAGCATCAATATACTGAGTGTATCCTCCCACATCCTGCTCCCCAGCTCCAACCCTGTACAAAAACACCCTCACCCCAGCACTCTGAAAGACGTGTTTTGAGGCTTACTTAGGATGAGCTGCCTTATACCCATGGCAGTGCTGCGCCTGGAGTCAGGCTTCCCAGAAATGGCATGGTCTCATGGATCTGAGCAAAGAGCAAGACACTGGCAGCCAGGCAAGCTGGACTTCAGCACTGTACCCACAGATGGGCTGGCAGAACATTTGCTTTTTTTTTTGGTTTGCTTCTGTTCTTACCATTAGTGCTGAGCCTGCACCCCTCATCATCAGAGCATTGGAACTATCTGGCCTCGGTTACAGGCAGTGGATTTGCAGTAAGCACAAACCCTCAGCACCCAGACTGGCAGTAAGCACTAAGGAAAGAGTTGCTCCTAGATCATTCTGGGCACAGTCAAGAGAGAAACTTGTCCCTCAGCCCAGCCTTTCAGCTGCTGCTGCCACACAGACCGTGGGCACTATAAGCCAAGGCAATTTAAGTCTTGCCCAGTCCCATGGACTTGCTGCTGCTCTGAGAAGCCACCCACCCTACAGTGCTCCCTTGCAACATACTTACCATAAAAAGGCAGCATGATGCTATTCAAACTGTCCTCCAAACTCACTGGCTGCAAGCAGGAGATGAACAAAAGGGGACACAACAGTTGGTGGGACAGAGTTTGGGGGCAAGGGGTGAAGAGGAAGCATCTGCCCAAAATGGGGGCAGAATTACTCACCTGTTTCTCAGCTGCCACAGCAGAGGCACCATGGCGGCGGCGGCGGCGGCGGCCTCGGCCCGTGCCCGCGGAGCCGGCCCGGTGTGGCGGCTGCGCCTGCTGTGCCAGCGCTACCAGGAGTACGTGAGGCGGCACCCGGCCGCCACGGCCCAGCTGGAGGGCACCGTGCGGGGGCTCTCCTACCTGCTGCCAGGTGCGGGAGCGGGGAGGCGGGCAAACCTTCGCCCCTCGGGGGCAGAATCTAGCTGTGCTGTTCAGAGTAGCCCAAGGACTTTGTGCATCAAGCTTCACCTCTGGCTGAAGACAAGGTGTCTTTGGCAGTCTCCTAGGCAGCCAGCTCTCAGATTGCTGTCTGGCAGAGCTAGAGCATCTCCTTGAAGGAGAGCAGCTCTGGCAGTCTGCACTGGATATGCCCCTAGAGTCACTAGCAGCACACACCTACCCCAGTAAGCTGTGCTGGAAACCTCTGTCACAGGCTTCGGGTGCTATCTCACCCGCCTTCGCACTTACAGTAGCAGCCCAGCCACCGTGAAATTCAGAGAAACTCGCAGGTAGCACTGCATGTGAATTGAAAGTTGGGTCTAATCCACGTGATTGTGACTAAAAAGGTTTGTTTAGCGCCAGACTGCTTGCCAGCGGTATCTCGTGCCCTTTTTGAACTCAGCCTGCTGGAAAACAAACCCTCGGGGGAAGAGGAGAGATCAGGAAGGATAAAGTGCCTGCCCATGCAACTGTAATTCCCGCCGAGGAAGCCGCAGGCACACACTGTGCCCATTGTGCGGAGGTAACCGGACAGGAGGAAGGAGGGGCGGCTCGGCCCAGCTCTGTGCGCACCCGAGAGGCCACGAAGCGCCTCCTAACCCACGGGCACCGCCGATCTTTGCCCCGGGCAGCGTGCGGAGCCAGGCCCGGCTGCGGGCAGGGGCGCTGGCCAGCAGCCTCGGCTGGGCGGGAGGCAGAGCCAGGGCAGGGCACGGCACGGCGGGAGGAAGGTCGCGGGACCGGGGACAGGCTGGAGCCACTTCTGCAACAGGCTGCAGCCAGGCGGGCCCCGCGCCTCCTCCCGCCTGCCAACGGGGACACCCGTGCTAGTGCGGCAAACCCTGAGCGCTGCGGGGCCGCGCCAGTCCCGCGGGGGCTCCGGGAGAGCCCCCACTGCACGGCCCGACCACCGCCCTTCTGCTCCCCGCCCCGGTCCGCCCGGCCCCGCGCGGGGACAGACACTGTCACGCACGGACGCGAGGATGAAAGCCCCGTGCCCGACGCCCTCCAACCTTTCCGTGCCCCCAGGGCAGCACCTCCGCTGCTCCGCACGCAGCGAGTGGGCACGGGCCGTTCAGCCCCGAGCGGAGCGGGGCTGTCCCTGCCTCCTCGGTCACACCTCACCCTTCCCCACGCAGAGCTCTCGCCAGGTACAGAGCGAGGCTCCCCACTGCCGGGCAAGCAGCGACCCGGGTGCCCAAGGGAGCCCGCGGCTGGGACGGGGATTGTCGCACGCCGCTCCCCGGCGGGCGACGAACGGGCAAGCACCGCTCCCGGCACCTGCTCTCATTCCCCAGCGCCACCGGGAACTTTTTACCGGTGCCGTAGCCAGCCCCGGCAGCTGCCCCGAGCAGCCCCCGACGGGCGGCCGGTACCCCGCACACCGCCCCCAGCCGTGCCGCGGAGCGCCAGACCCACGCGTGGACAGACCCCCGCCCGCCGCGACGCTCGAGGAACCACTCCTTCCCGGGGCCCCCCACAACTGACCGCACCTCGGCTCCTCACCCGGCGGCAACCGCGTCCCCGCTCGGGACACCCGCAGCCCGCCCTCACCTGCCCGGCCGCCGCCGCCGCTCCTTCAAACCCCCGCCCCGCCGCCCATCGCCCGCTCGGCGCTCGGCCCGGCTCGGCTGGTCGGGGCGGGGCGCGGCGGGGGCGGCCCCGGAAGCAGCGCGGCGGCGGCGGAGGCACCATGGCGGCGGCGGCGGCCTCGGCCCGTGCCCGCGGAGCCGGCCCGGTGTGGCGGCTGCGCCTGCTGTGCCAGCGCTACCAGGAGTACGTGAGGCGGCACCCGGCCGCCACGGCCCAGCTGGAGGGCACCGTGCGGGGGCTCTCCTACCTGCTGCCAGGTGCGGGAGCGGGGAGGCGGGCAAACCTTCGCCCCTCCGGCCGGGGTCTGGGCCGGGGGGGTGCGGGCACCGGGACCCGGCGGGCACCGGGGCTCCCCCGGCTCCGGGCGCTCGCTGTAGCCGCTCTCTTCCCTTGGCAGGTCGCTTCTCGGACTCGCACGCGCTGTCGGAGCTGGGTAGGTGGGCAGCGGGTCGGGGCCAGTGCTGTGGCTCTTGCTCCCCTGGCCCTGCTTTTGTCCATGCATTCTCGGGCAGCTCCTGGGAGGAGTCTGCACATCTTGCTACCCTCCTTCCCTCATCCCCTGTCGGAGACAGAGACAGCAGGGCCGGTTTGGCTTGCTTTCTGTGCATCCATTCTGCGTTGTTCTCTTCGTTTTCCAGTGTACTCTGCCTCCAACCTCCTAGTGCTGTTAAATGACTGGATTCTCCGAAAGGACCTGCAGGAAAGCCTGCCAGTGGTAAGGCTGGAGTGTGTGGGAGGTGGATTTGGGACACATGCTTTCTTCCTTGCAGGAGCTTTCAGGGAGCGTCTATAGAAACTTGACAGGTCTTTGCTGTGGCCTCTCTTTGCGGTCAGGTATGGAGAAGCCAGAGGCAACCTCTGAATGCAAGTAAAATAGCAGCCCTGTCCCTTAGCTCCTGGCTTGGAGACCTGGCCAGAGCACTCCCTGGACCACAGACATCCAGCCCTGCCTTGCACCAGAAGCTCCACAGGCTTTTTTGAGAAGCTCAGAACTTGAGCTAGGTGGAAGTGTTGATGAATAAACATTGCTGTTTACACAGCAGTGGCTCTGGAGCACTGAAGCTCTTGACTCCATCTGTCAGACTCTTCCTTTGCACAGTGTACTGAGTAAAACAAATGTAAGTGCCTTGCTACTGTGTCTATCTTGCATGAGCCCCAGGCTGGCTCCCAGCATTGTTAAACCCTTTGGGGAATGGGGAAGAGGTTAATTTTTTTCCAGACAAGGCTCTTCTGTTACAAACCTGCCCAGTGTGTGGGTTGGGTGTCAGCAGCTCCCCGAATGGAGCATCAGGTGTGTAACAAACAGAAACGTGCAAGACTTGCTTTCCTGGTTAAAATGGAATGGAATTTCAGCTGTATTGTCTTTATTGATGTTTTTCTGGATCAAACGTTGTGGTTGACAGCAGTAGTAAGTTCCCATGTGTATAGCAGAGACCTAGACTGGAAGAGGACTCACTGTCTTGGGGTTCATGCCTGAAATCTAGTCTGATGCTGTGTTCAGCCAGCATTCACTCAGGTGTGGCTGTGGACTCTGGGTTCCCTTCCCTCTACTCCAAGTACACTCCCTTATCAGCTCTGTCCAGAGAATAGGTTGTCTTGTGTCTCAGCTCTGGGACAAGGAGGAGGAGAGAGGTTTGTAGTGGAACTCCGGCACAGTGCCACAACCCAGGAGGCTATCCTGCTGTGTCCATTGGGGTAGAGGCAATATAAAACACAGATGTGATGTTCTCCCTGTTTTTGGAGTAGTAACTCCATGTGATACCGTGATGTCTCAATCTGCCCCTGCTTGGAGGTGGATAAGTGGGCTTGTGTGTAGGCTCCAGCCACAGTGAAAGCATTGCTTTTTGTTTCTGGAGCTGTGACTTCCAAGGCCATCTGGTGCTTATTTCTGAGGGTCCCACCAGACTGGGCTGTGTTTCTGCCCTCCTTAACTCCCGAGCAGAACCTGCATCCTGTCCCCCTCCTCCCCTCTGTGTTTTGCAGTCGCTGCCCCAGCAGAAGCTGCTGACCTGGCTGAGTGTACTAGAATGCGTGGAGGTCTTTGCAGAGATGGGGACAGCCAGGGTGTGGGGGGAGATGGGCCGGTGGACCATCATTGTCCTCATCCAGCTGGCTAAGTAAGTGCTGCGGGCAGAGGGGAAGGGGCAGCATGCGCTCGGAAAGGGGACCTGGAGGGCACTCCATTGTACCCCGGAAAAAATCCCACACAGGACTGAGCTGCCAGTCCCTGAGGCTGGGGGAATTTGGAGCCCCATGGTGTACTGGACTCTGTGCCACAGAAGGGAGCATTTACACCTCTCACCTTGCCAGTTGCCCTGAGGAGGCCCTAGTGTTTCCCTCTTCTGTTGAAGCCATCTCTCCAGTGTAACAGGAACCCAGGTCCATAGTCTGGTATTGAAGACTTCCACATGTCTGTTCACAGAGCTATCCTTCGTCTCCTGCTCCTGCTGTGGTACAAAGCTGGCATCCAGATGTCTCCTCCCATTGTGCCACTGAACAGGGAGAAGCAGCAGCCTCTCCACCCTGAAGGTGAGCCCATGGTGTTGTCATCACTGGCTTGGTGCCTTGCTAAGCCACATGTCTTGTCCTGCTAGAATTACTCATGAGAGCAGTGGCTTGTGCAGCACATGGAACCATAAGGTGTCTGTACTCAACTTGCTTAGTGGCAGGGTTGTCCTACTATCTGGAAGGAGGGGATGGAGAAGTCTGAGCTGGGAATTTCTGGCTGAACCATGAGTCGGGCTGCATGTGCCCTGGTCTAGTGATGGGGAAAGAGGTCTGGGCAATGTCATGCAGATTTACCTTTTCACCCTCTGCCTACTGTTAGTCCCCACAGAATGGTCCAGTTTGCACTAAATCAGCCTTTCAGTCTGCTCTTCTTTCTGGCAGCTCTGGGGTGTGAAGCATATTGTTTTGAAGCCTGACCCCTGTGGCTGTTTCCTTCTGCAGGCATGGAAGACAACTCCTCAGGGAAGGATCAGACCTATGTTGGCAGGCGTTCCAGCCGTGTTGTGCGCTCTCTGCAGAGCAGTAAGTAACTGAGCCTGTTTTTCAGCCTGAGCTCTTCCTGCTCTGTGCCTTCATGGATGACATGGATGTGAGCAGTGAAGGGTAGAACCGTGTATTGGGACATCCTTTGCCACTCACTGGGCCCACTGTGGGTAGGTGGGGGTATCAAAGCAACCAGAGACATGCTGCAAGGCTGGCACTAAATTGTATTTTCCCAAGTGAGCTGTGCACCAGAGACAGCTCTTCATCGTGGTTATGCTTTGAGGAGCATGGATCTTAAAAGTACCTCTTCAAGGTTTCCTCTTTCACACCTTCACAGTGCAGAAAGCAGGGAAACATGATAGGAAGGTGTCCTGGTTTGGGCTGGGATAGAATTATATCTGTACCTGGTAAGTAGTACAGGGCTGAGTTTTGGGTTTAGTATGAGAATAGTGTTGATAACATTGTTATAACTGATATTGTAGGTTGTTGAGAAGTAGCAGTTACTCTAAGTCAAGGACTTCAGTTTCCTGGGTTCTGCTAGTGAGGAGATGTGCAAAAAGCTGAGAGGGAGCATGGCCAGGATGGGTGACCTGAACTGGCCAAAGGGATCTTCAAACTGGAGGAGTTGGCAGGGAGGGGCCAATCGCTGTTTGGGAATGGGATGGGCATCAGTCTGGGAATGGTGAGCGGTTGTACATCACTTGTGTTTCTTGGGTTTTGTTAACTTCCTTTTCATTACTGTTATTATTGTTATTATTTTTTGTTATTTTACTTTATTTCAATTATTAAACTGTTCTATGTCAATGCAGGAGTTTTACCTTTTTCTGATTCTTCTCCCCATTCAACCGACTGGGGAGGGGGGTGTGAAAGGCTCCAGGGGCAGGTGGAGTGAGCTAGCGGTCATGTGATACATAGTTACCAGCTAGGACAAAGTTTTTATTTGTGTTAGCAACCACACCTGCTTGTTTCAGCCCCGTCCCTGCAGTCCCGGCACTGGGGGTCCCCCCAGCAGAGGGAGGAATCGCAGAGCCGAAGAACGGAGGAGATTAACCAGCCTCCCACTCCTCTGGGTCTCCAAGAAACCATCGCAGAATCCATCTACATCACCCGCCCGCTGCTCCACCGTATCCTGCCCTTCCCCCGCGGGCTCCGGCGCTGGCAGTGCCAGCAGAGGGTGCTGCGGGCTCGGCCCGGCTGCAGGGCAGCGCCTCGCCAGCTCCGCTCGGCTTGGCCACGGCGCTCGGCTGTCCTCCCGTTCTTACACTTTACAGTGGCTGGCCTCAGCCGCTGGAGCTGTGGGTGCGAGTCCTCCAGCCCTTTTCTCCGGGGCCCCCAGCCCTGCCTTAGGGTGTATTCACCTGCACTTGGCCGAATTTTGTGGGTACGCAGGGGATCGCTTCTCTGCGTGCCTCTTGTTAGGAGTCTCTCATCTTTTCATTCCTTGACTGTGTGTTCCTAGTACTGAGTTTAGGAGTATGGGGCCAGAGATCATGGAAGCCCTGGCTCCTCTCAGCAGTCCTGGACATCTCGAGGTCAGTCTGATGAAGAGTCTTTCTTGGTGCTTGGTTTGATGGTGGCTGGGCATCACACTTCCTTGTTCCCCAGTCCTGGGCAGGCCCTACAGAGAGAAATATGCGCCCAGGATGGTCTTTAGCTTGGAGATTGACACATCTACAGCACTTCCAGCGCCCTCTGTTCTGAGCTGGTGTGGGCTGCTCTGTGTGGAGCTGGGAGTGGAGAACTTTAGAAACTTGCTTTCTTTTCCCTGCTGGCTTCTTTTGCTGTGACTTAGCTCTCTGCCCTCCTCCTTCCAGTCTGAGTTTGCTGAGTGATCTGAAAGACCTGAACAGGCGAGAGCGGGCGGAGCTGAGGCGACGAACCATCCTACTGCTGTACTACCTGCTGAGATCTCCTTTCTATGACCGATACTCAGAGTAAGGGGCCCTTGCTGGGCTTTTGCTGAAAATTTCCCTTTTACCTAAAATAGCATCAGGGGACTGGGTGAGTAGATCTGAAGATGTGTGGGTGCCTGGGACCAGGTTAATCTGAGCCCATGTATAACAACTGCCATTGCTATTTGTGTGTTCAACAGCTGGGGCAGGAGATGTCCAGCTGGACTTGTTCATATTCTCTCCCTTTCCAGGGGCAGGATCCTCCTCCTTCTGCGCTTGTTGGCTGATTATGTGCCTGGAGTTGGCTTCATCACACGTAAGTGGGTCCCACTGTTACATCCCCATTTCTGCCTGGTGAAGAAAAATGAGGGCAGTTGGGAACATTTGTCAATTGGTTTCCAATCTGGGGAAGGAATTGGGAAGTCCCTAGAGAGGTTAGCACTAGAGGACCCTGTGTTGATGCTTGAGTAATTTTTAAATGCTGAAGGAAAAGATAAATTGCTTCCTGGCTTGATGACAGTAGTAAACCTCTGTGTGCCCTGAGGCTGCAGAGCTCGGGGTCTGCCACGTAGGCCTGTTCTCCTGGGCTTCATTTCTGCACCTCAGCTGATACACCAGGGCCCCAACTTTGCAGCCCTGTTCTGAACTCTTTTCCTTGATCCCTAGTCTGCAGTGTGGACATGAGGGGTAAATGGGTGCTTGGAAGTATTGAACGAGGCAGAAACTGACTGTAAATCAAAGGGCCAAACCAGGTCTGTGTTATAGTTCTTCACCAGAGGATCCCTTTGTTATGGGCCAGCATTTCATTTCCCTCCACTCTTCTCCTGATGATGCTAATCCTTTTGTGGAGTGATTCATGGTAGTGATATGACATTACATCAGCCTGGCATCATGGGATTGCTCTTTCTTTGGGGAGGTCACAAAGCTGGCTAGCTCAGGAGCCACTTCCTCCAGTTAGTGATTTCAGAGAGGCTTTGGAGCCTGCATTAAGCCCTGTGCAATGTAAGCATTTTTACTCTACAGCAGATGCTTCTGTGTTTGCACCTGCTCACTATTGCTGCAGATCTGCCTTCTTCCCTGTCACAGCAGTGTTCTACTGACTCTCTGCCTGTGGGTTTTCCCCTTGCACGTTGTAGACCCCCTTTCCCACTGCAGTTTGAACATGTCAGCTCTAAGGGAATGGTTGGTGTCCCACACCATGGCTGTGCTGACCATGTTTCACACCCCTCTTGGTCCTGCTCTGATCTCTGGCACCACATTGCAATGTTGTCTTACGTCTTGGCAGAAGTAACTGTTCTATTCTTGGGTTCATCTGAGTTGTGTAAATGGAGATTTGGGGTTGTTTGGATCATAATGAGAAGTGGGGGATATACCCCATAGATACATAGCACAGCTTTAAGTTGTTGCCTTTCTACATATATGATCCCTTTGTTCTCTTGTTTCAGGGCCACTGATGGATTACTTGCCTGCTTGGCAGAAAATCTATTTCTATAACTGGGGCTGATAAGAAAAGAAGATGATTACACTTTGCTCAAATCATGGCTGGACATTCCTAAGGAGGGCAAGCAGTCTGGGGGAGGGATATTGATAATATCTAATTTTCAGTTAAATCATAAATGAGAAGTTCCTGTTCTACAGAGCGGGGAGGGGGTTTTATGCAATTTTTTAACAGATCTCGGCATGAATGATGGACAGTAAATGTGTGGGGAGACCCTGGCCCCCTATTTCTTTGGACCATTCTGTGGCTGCAGTGATGGTGATGGGGCAACTTCTTTTTTGAAGCACTTGATTTTTTCTTCTTTTGTACAGCTGCGCTATAACAAAGCCAGGCAGCATAGTGGTTTTTTTGGAGAGCACTGTCTCACATGTCAAGGTGCTGAGGTTGACCCACAACCTGCTTGTGCTGGCCGTGCCTGGCCCATCTGCTTGGAGCGGATTATGGCTGTCAAATAAACTGACTAAATGGAGAGAACTGAGCTGAAGAGCCTCTGCCTCTTTGCATGGGATCCCTTGTATCTGGTTGCCAGCAGGTCTCTTTGTCAGAAAGAGCAGCTTTTGCAGTTGTCTACTCTGGGATACTCTGTCCGTTTTGCTCTGGCCTGTGTCAGTCAGGGCCCACATGTTGCTGATGACTATAGCCTCTATAATTCCCAGTGCCTGCCTCAGTCCCCAGAGTCCTGGGGTTCCCCTGGGGGTACACAGAGCTGCAGTGTGCAGGCTGCTTTCCTAGCACCTAATGTGTGGTAAAAGGGTTTGCAGGATGGCTGCCAGCCAGTGCTTGGGGGCTTGGCCAAGGGCAGACGAGAAGTGATTAATTCAGCAAATATGCTTGCCACATTTAATAGAGGGCCTGGGACAGGCCTGTGTCTCTTCTAATGGGGGGACAGTTGCACAGTGAGCTTCTGTGGAGGCTTTCTGGCCAGGACAAAGAGTTAGCCAGCCGGTGGCACTGGACCGCCCCACAGGCAGCTGTCTGGGTAGTAAGTGTGCCTCAAGTGGCTATCAAACATTCCTGTCTGAATGGGGATTCTCAGGCTGCAAGGGTCACAGCCTTCTTGCCTCAGCACCCAGCACTGGAAACGTAGTCCCAGGCACACATTCCTCATGGGCCACCACAGCTGGGGACAACAGGACTTTGGAGGTGTGAGGGGTCTGTGTTGCCACCTCAGCTAGCAAGACCCTGTAACATGGTAACAGCAGCGCAGAAAAGCCCTGACCAAGGAACTGTGCTCCCTTTGCTCGGTCTTGTAGCAGAGGAAGATGCTGAAGTGTTGTGTCCTGGGACAGAGTGGTACTGAGAGGAGATACAAGGGTCTGCTTTTGGAGGGTTTGAGAGGAAGGCACAAGCAGGTGCTGAGGGACAGAGACAGCCCTGGAGCTCTGACTACATGCAGGGACACGCACCAGCACAACGAAGGCTCAGCAGCTGGCAGGGCCCGGGCAGAGGCAGCCCAGGACCTGAAGGGGACAAGGTAGGAAGGGACAGCAGCAGTACCTGGGAGGGGCCATGTCCCCTGCCCCACCCAGCAGGTGTCCTGGGCAACCAGGGTGGCTCCTCTGTGACCTTGCTGCGGAACCAGTGGAACCGGTCAGTGTGCACCATGCTGTGCTGCCTGCTGCTCCTCGCCCTGCTGCTGGGGGCTGCCCTCCCACAGCCTGTGCACCAGAGGTGATGGCACTTCCCTCCTCCTCCTCCCTGCCCCGGTACCCGCAGGTACCCCAGGGCCCCTGACACGGGCTGGGACTTGTGGCACCAGGCCTCAAGAGCTGGCCAGACTGGGTGGAAGATGCAGCAGACGGGAGCTCTTGTGCCAGACGGGGTAAGTGCTGTAGGACCTTGGCTCACTCCTGGCCCTTGTTTTCCTCTGTAGGAACAGCTACTCAGTTCCTGAGGATTTCACTGCTCCCCTGGAGCTTCCACAGAAGCACTTCGGCCTGGTGGATGGTACAGTGCTCTCCTTGCCCCTCTGAACCCCCTTTCCATGCACTCACCCCTCCAGGCGGGTGGTTGTCGCGGAGCTGAGCCCAGCCTCTGCTGCACCCGCAGATTACGGCATCAAACCCAAGCAGCCGCGCTTCGGACCGCGGGCGGCCCCGCGGCGGCCGGTGGAGCTGCGCAGAGCTCGCAAAAGCAAGCGCGACGGGCTGGACCTGCTGGAGTACTACGAGGATGCGCGCCTGTGAGCCAGCGTGCCCCCGTGCCCGCCACAGCCCCGCAGGTGAGGGCTGGAGCAAAAGCTGCCAGAAGGCCCTTTGTGTCATCGCATGATCTCTGGCCTCCCAGGACTGCAGCCAGGGCTCTTGGACCAATACTGAGAAGCTCCAGCTCCTCTTGGGGTCCCAAGGGAAAGAAGAAGCCAGGGCCCAACCCCCTTGCAGTGGGAAACAAACACCACAGTAGCTCTGCTCCAGGAACCATCATATTTAATAGTTGTTGCCATCACAGCAGATCCAGCTGAAGCACAGAGATCACTGGCTGCAGGGACTGGGAGAGCTCTTCTACCTCCCTGGTGCTTCGCACGGTTCCCTGCAGCCTTTAGCCCTTCCCTGCCCCACTTCAGGCAGCCACCCAGCTTTGTGCAGGGGCTGAGCCCCACTGAGCTGGGGTGCCCTTGCTCTGCCTCTGCCACCTGCAGCCTGGGGGAGAGGGGAAAGGGGCAGAGAAAGGCTTCCCTCCCGAGGGTATAGTTACTGCAGGGAGGTATGAGGGCAATTTTTCTCTCTCCCCAGGGCATGGATACAAGATGGAAAGCTTGGGGATGGGGACAGAGGCAGGGGAAACCTGTCTCATCTCATTCTGAATCTGGCAGAGGAGATACTGGGGCTTCCTCTGCCACCCCTGCCCAGCAGCCACCTCCCCAGGGCTTGGCAGGGAGGTGATCCCATCTCCCAGGCAGGAGCCAGCATGTGGGTCTTGTTTTCTGTAGCTGCTGTGTCATCATACTGCAAGAGACTGACTCTCCCCCTGCAATTAAAAGTCACCCCAGATGGATGTGACAGGAAGCTGTGCCATGGTCACAAGGAGGAGACGCTGTCACCCCAGCCTGCAGCTGGAAAGGGCACGAGCACACTACTGCCCCCCACCAACTGCTCACAAGCAGGGCACCCACCGGGTGCTTCTCCAATAGAATAAACTAAGAGTATTTTGTACAATAAACACAATTTGTCCAGCCCTCCCCCCTCCCGTCCCCCCAGCCCGAGGAAGGGGAGTCACGACAAGAGGCGGCGCTCCGTGCCCCGGGGAGCCCTGCCCCGGGCCCGCTCCTCCTCCAGGCTCAAAGCAGCTCTTGTCCATGCACGACACGGGGAAGGGGCGAGACTGCAGCCCTGGCTGTGCAGGAGGTGCCTGTGCCAGCCCCTACTCCAGGTAAATGTCCTCTGTGGGGCACGTGTACTCCACATACTCCTTGTAGAATTGCTGAAAAGCCCTCCTGCAACACAGCATCAGGCAAAGCTTAGCAGCAGCCTCCCCACAAGGCAATTGTAGATCCTTGTTTCCATCCTGACCCTCACTCCTTACCCTGTGGCCTGTTTGACCCCCCCCCCAGGCCTGACCTCTTCTGCATTAGCCCCAGAGCTGCCATCAGAGCCACAGGGTCTCCATCCTTGCTTTGAGCCCCTGCACAGTGCATCACTTTCAGCCATCTGCCTGCAAAGCTCTGCACTGGGACTTGTTCCAGTACTGTCAGGAATGTGATGCCCATAGCCCTGTCAGCCCTGACTCTCAAGCCAAGCATCTCACTTGAGCAAGAGGTGCCAGCCTGGGGCCAGGTCCAAGCCCCACATGTAGGGGGAGACAGCAGGATTCAGCCTGGCTGTCTTGTTCCTCCTGCCCTTTATGAGCCAGCCTCCTCTGCCCAGCCAGACTCACCCTACAGACTCCGCCAGTGGCTTCGTGGACTCCTCCGAGACGAAGACATGACAGGCAAATCTGTGGTCAGCAGGGTGCTTGGTGATGAACCCAAAATATCTGAGGGCAAAGAAAGTGATGTGACTGGACCAGCAGACCAGCAGGCACAGGTACCCCAGCATCTCTGAGGTGTACCCACCCTTAAGCATAGGGATTTGGGACCTTAAACCCCCCTGATAAATCCTGGTGGCCACCCCAGGGTCACGCCACAGCCCATGTCCAGAGCTGCAGCACTGGACTCACAGGGAGTCCTCCAAACCAGGGCTCTGGGAAACCTCTTCTTCCCTTCCTAGCCCCAGTCATGCTATTCCCAGGGAGCAGGAAGGCAGCAAAGCCTCGCTGCTGAGCTACTGCTGTTGAGAGCTGCACTACACTGCCTTGCTACTCACTTGTTGTTCTTTGGATGGTACCCACAAAAGGAAATGTTCTTCAGCTGGAAAAAATGGCTACACTTGTTTACCTGGGGGAGAGAGAGAGAGGGGACCTGTCAGAGCTTTTCTCCCCACACCCTGCAGTGCAGCTGGTCTCTGGCCACTGGAAATAGCACCTGGAGACTGAGGAGTGAAATTAATTGGAGACTAATCCTGGGCTGCTATCAGCAGCAGTTTCAGGATTGTTCCAAGCACCTGAACAAAGGGAGCTTTTCCAGGCAGCCCTGCTGGCTCTCACCTCAGCTGCCTTTACCACCAGTAGCTCCTGCAGGATTTCCCTGGAGACCCTGAGTCAGACTCAGGCTAAAGTCAGTGCTGCTGTTCACCAGCACACACAGCCCCCCTTCTTCACCAAAAAGGCTCCCAGAAACACTAGTACACAGAAGATGAATGGATAACTTAGAACTAAACAAGTCAATTCAAGCCTGGGTGTCAAAGGGTCCCAGCCAGAAATGAAAAATTATTTATACAAGTCTAAAGTGCAGCTAAGTTGATGGCATCCTCTGAATATAGGCAAGATTTGTAGAAACCTCACCCCAGCTCTATCACAGCACTCACAGCCATGAGCTACTCCTATCCCTCAGCTGGAAGGGAGGTTTCCCAACAGCTTGCTGCAAAGCCCTCACTTTCCTCTGCTCAGCATCCCAATGTGCTTTACTAGGCTACTTAAGCAGAATGCTAATCAGCAGCCTGCCCTTGCCAGATAAAGAGATTACAGGGCAGATCTGGAGGACACCACTGAAAATAGCAGCAGAAAGGTTTAGAAGCAGCTGACAGATTACCGGGTATGGCTCAGCTCGCAGCATCCCAGCGCAGTGACGTGCCTGGCAGCTGTGAGAGCATCAGCTGGCAGTACTGCCCAGAGCTGGGGCCTTGTGAGGCAAGGGGGACCTCAATGGTGGGCCTAAAACGCTGATGATGGTGTTTGTCACATGCTCAGACATGGGGTGGAGACCCTTAATTTTGATAAGCAATCATGGCCCGTAGCACAGAGGGCACAAGCCAGTTCAGAGCAGCAATCGGGGAAGGGATGAGATGAGCAGGGAGTGGGCACTACCTTGCTGTGCTCCTTGGAGTCGTCAGCTTTCACAGCAATCTTGACCCCGCGCACGCTGATCTCCAGGACGCAGCTGGAGGGCGGGTTAAAGTGCACAGTGAGGCGGCGCGTGGTGGCAATCTGCAGCAGAGAGAGAGAGAGAGAGAGAGAGAGAGAGAGAGAGAGACAAAGCCGTGGGGCTCGTGAGCAGTGATGATGATTCCCAACTGAGGCTCTGCCCTGCTGCCAGATGGAGCAGGCACTCCTGCTGCCTGGGATGGGGTGGGACACTACCTTCTGCATGGCCGCACAGAGCACATCATTGCCCTTGTGGTAGGGAACCTGCACAGAGCCAAGGAACTTCACCCGAAACTGGTCCACCCAGTCACTGCTCTTGGCCAGAGCTGGAAGAGAGAGCACATGGCAGGGATCATCTCTGGTGACCAGCTGTGTGGGCTGAGCTCCACCTCCCCTCTCCACCTTCCCACCCCTGTGCTTTTCCCTGCCCAGGAAAAGCTTCCATCAACAGCAGCTATCAACTCCCAGCATCACAGCAGAACCTGCTCATCGCTCCCTGCTGGATGCCCAGTTTGGTCCTCCCCCCTGCCCCCTGCTCAGCACCAGACTGCTCAGCAGGGAGGATGCAGTACAAGCTGGGGACCTCAGCAGGCTGCACACAGAGGCTTGATACCTGTTCCATGGTCTGGGTCCTTGGTGACTTCAATAGCATAGTAGGCAGGGAAGATGCCCCGATCTCCTGTGCGCATGTTGTAGGCCTCATACCAATAATCTTCTGCCTGCACCTCCACCAGCAGAGGATCATCCACCTCCAGCTCCAGCTCATCCGCATGGCGAGGCACAAACCTGGGCAGAGAGGCACTAGCAGCTGGCTGGCTAGCAGTGCTGGTGGCCTTCTCACTGGCACACTGCTGGGGCACCCACCACCAACCCAGACACTGCCCTGGGACCTGACATGCTAAATAAAGCACTGGAGGAGGTTTGGGCTCAACAGGCAGTAGCATCTTGACACCTAATGCAAGGGTATCCCCTACTGCACCACCCAAGCTGCTCCTCAGAGGCCTTGCCCATGCAGCAGCCTGGGCAAATGTTGCTCCTGGGCAGGGCATGAGCTGCAGGCTACAGGTTTGTTCCCCAGAGCTGCCCACACCAGAAACACTGGAGTTTGTGCTGGCCCCGACTTGGTGGGAGTGCAGCACCAGCTTTCCCCTGATAGAGGCTGGGGACATTGTGTGTGCCTGCAAGCTCACCTAAAGACAGCACGGTGAGTCTGCTCCTGCTCCTCCCCGTTGATCATGCAGGAGAACAACCCAAAGGACTCAGCACCTGGGGACAAAGGCAGAGGAGGACATGTCAGCACTGAGGGATCACAGCCAACAGAAGGACATGGGCCAGGCCATCTGCTGAGGTTCCTGCAGGATGGCTCATCCAAGACAAAGCCATGTGATGCCACAGGAGAGAGACATGGCTGGAGCCGCTGTGCTGGTGCCCATCAGTCCTTGCTGGGAACAAAGCCTCCCTGCGCCAACACAAACAGCTGTGACACCGGCATAGGACCAGCCACACCATGGGAAACCCTGCCTGCTGGAGCATGCCAACAGTGCTCTTCTGGGCTTGGAGAGGAGTGTGGCATGCCAGGAATATGATGGCCCCCTGTGAGCTCAATGCAGCCTCAAACACCCACTGCCACTCCCACCTGACACTCATGACATTTTTCCAAGCCCCACCATGCCTCCTGGACCACCAGGGACACAGCCACAGGCTGCAGCAAGCAGAACTGGGGCTGATG